ACAGATATTAATGAATAATTAGATGATTTAAACCAGACAGGCGACACATCCTCACCAAACAGAACTAATGTTAGCGCTATTCCGCCGCTATTGTTTTCTAATATTCATTCAAAGCCTTTCTAGGAATAAATGAGCAGAATTATTTTTTTTTCCTTCTGTAGCTGCATAGCTAACTATTCAATACTGCATTCTAAGTAGTTTTGCAAATGATCAGTCAAAGATACCGGATAGATAAAAACATGCCGCTATCTCTGCAGAATTCAATTATGAATAACACCGAGAAAGAGATTGAGAGAAGATGCTTTCTTGTTGACGTTTTCTTGGAAACAAGGACATTTTTTGGCAAGTTGTCACAGTCCATATTTTTTCTCTTCTTCTTTTAGCCACACTCCGCGGCTGAATTAGCAGCAGCACAAAAGACTTCTCATCTCTTGCATCATCTTAAGCTACCCTTGACAAAACCTTGAGGTTTCAACAACTATCTTACCAACCTATATTCACTCTGTCAAATCCTGTGCACTGAAAAATTAATGACTTTGATTTGTGAAAAACTTTCATTTCTTACTGTCGCCCTAGAGATTAAAACAGAGATACCTGCGCAGAAAAAAAAAAAAAGTCCTGCACAGAGTTCACCAACAGAGACGTCCATTAATCTGGCGAAACAATGAGCAGCGGTACAAATTGAACGACATTTGTTTGACATTTTGTGTGCCATTTGGTGCTTGTTGCCACCACACTTTTTCATTTGAAATCTATTAGTTGCGGGCAACCTTGAACTCTGCATGTTTTTTCCTCTGTATCTGAGCGGCTATATAAGAGCCTCAGGTACTGTGAGGGCCTTGTTGTTTGGTGTCATTAATCCCCGTCTTCTCAACCACGATGTGTCTCTCTGTACGGTTTATACACTGTGTATGTGTGCTTGCCTTCAGTACGTTCATGTGTCGTTCCGTCGCACGCTCCCCTCCCCATAGACAGACTGGCTGCTTGCAAGGGAGCTGCTTTCTTGTGTGTCAACCATTTTATATCTTAACTCGTAATGGCACACTCACACACACACACTCTCACACACATGCATGTACACACTTGTTTTAGGTTTAACACGATCTTCTTCCAGAGATTGCTTATTTATCGGGAGTTGTGCTAAGCTGCACCAGTTACCATGCATTTTTCATGAGACTCGGATTTAATGGTTACTTCTGTGTGTGTGTGTGTGTGTCTGTGTGTGTGTGTGTGTGTGTGTGTGTGTGTCACGCATGTTTCTGTATGTCTTATGGCTGATGATGAGTCTTGGCTTTAATGTTTTAAAGAATTTATGCATGTGCTGTGCAATATGTAGTGCACTTGTGCTATATTTAAACATGCGCTATCCGGAAGTTCTTCCAAATGTTTTTTGCTTTGAGGACTTTGCCTTCCTCTCCTCTCCTCTCCTCTCCTTTCCTCTCCTCTCCTCTCCTCTCCTCTCTGGAGACTAGTTCCATTCAGCAGGTCTCTAACAGTCTTGAAAGACACAAGGGCACTGCCTGCAGGATTAGGTTTCTGCCGTGTTCACATTCCACTCAGTACCCCAGGGACCAAGGTGGAATGAAATTCATATGTTTAAGAGGTTTCAAGCAAGTGTGCACATTTCATTGCAGGGCGACAGGAACAACCCTTTGCTGAAGCTCTAAGGATAGCGGTTTGAATATAATAGACAGGGAATTGGTGTTTTGGGTTGAAGCAAACTGGTGCATTCAGTATGCTGCTGCCTCCACACGCAGATGCTTGCACACTCGTACACAGAGTCACACAGATTACATGACATACACAAAGCATTAGCTCACGCACTGCATCAGAAAGCATTTTAATGTGGCAGTTTTGGCTGGTCCGTTGAAATGCAATCCCACTAATCAAATCAATTTTCTGGTTTTCATTGCTCTGTTGCTATTAGCATACATTAAAGAACTCATTATCTCAGGTCATTTTATAATGCTGTATTTTTTTTTCTCCCTGCACTTGTTATACGACCACTGTGGACACTGTGAATGTTGGCATGTTTGCACATGTTTCATCGTGCTCTTTTCCCAGTGTCCCTCTCTCTCCTTTCATGTCAAGCGTGTCTCTGCTCCCCCGTACGTATGTGTGCAACATATGTGAGATGCAATGCTGTCAGATAGTTTCCCCATTGCAGCACAGTCTCCTCAGACGCTTATGTAATGTTATTACCAATCACACATGGAGAGCATCCTGGCACTCTCACAAGGTTAGGATGAAATATGAGGACGATTATGGAGATCTGAGATTGTATTATCATGATTTCCTTATTATTGCATCATTAATCTATTTTTGTCTCTTGTCTCTATCTCTTTCTTTCTCTCTCTCTCTTGTTCTCTCTCTCTTTTTTTTTCTTCAAATCTTTTGCCCATGGCCTATGCAGAAGTAGAACAAAAAGGTAAGTCTGTGAAGCAAGCACAGTCTACACATGCACACATGCACACATGCTCAAAATCTGGGATTGGGCGTCATTTTTTGATGCCAGAGCCTGAAGCCTTTTGTACCTCATGGCAGCATGACATCTCTTTCAAAGTCATCGCTGCTATATTAAGACAGCTTGATCTCAGCATATAGAGGCAATTTGAAAACACTGCTTCTCATTAGACACACTCTAGCCCCACATTATTCCACGGTATTGTGTAGAATGTCACTTAACAAACTCTCCATGGGTCGAGCACATTTTTATGATGAGCCAATGAACACAGAATTACATTGACATTTAATACTTTGAATGCTTCCCTATGATATGTAAGTGATGCCAGTGCTTTGAATAGCCAATGAAAATTCAATCAATATTCCCAGGCTTTTGCGTGGGATCTGGAATTCTATTATTGAGAAGAATGGTAAAACCACAGCGCACATCTGGCACGTCTGCTGTGTGGATGTGTGTGTATGTGACGGCATTCCTGTTAAATTACAAAGGTTCCTATGACATTGGTCGCTCTGGCTTCCCAGAATTTACTACGTCTCCCACATCCCTCATAAAACATGACCCTAGAATTCCAAGATGGGAATACTGAGCATGGGGTGGGAAAAGAATTATTGTAACAACTGCAGAAACAGCAGACAATAAAAGATATGTTCGATTCTACAGTTGGTTGTTCCTGACAGAAATAGAAAGGGAGAGAAAGGAAGAAAGAGCTGCGAGACTAATGAGGAGCCGAAGAGGGAGGGAGAATTGGGAATAGAGGGAAAGTGTGGAAGTAGAACAAAATGTGCCATTTTCTCTTCATCTCTTAGCTGTGAGAGCAGGGTATTATCTGTTGAATAGAAGGCATACTGTTGCTGTGCTTAAGGATGACAGTGACTCTACAACATCCAAATCACAACACAGTAAGCCTATCATGTCATCGTCATTCACTGGTGGTTAAGGTTGAGTTAAAACACAGTGTTCCATTATTTATGAACATTTATGAAAAGAGGCAAACATTTCGCAGGCACTGTCAGAAACTCTAGAGAGAATAGTTGGCATTTTACATCAAGTGCGCAAAAAATGGATCTAATGTGAAAATGTTGTCATTTATTCCTCAGTTTTTCTGTGTCCTGGCATTCTGCGGGGAGTATACCAAAGTGAACATCTCTTTGAGTCAGATCACCAATCTGGTGCGTGGTGCAAAGACCCGCTGCAAGCCTCTGATAAGATCTACTACATGCCCTGGACACCGTACCGCACAGACACACTCACAGAGTATTCGTCAAAGGAGGACTTCATCGCAGGCCGTCCCACCACCACGTATAAACTGCCGCACCGTGTGGATGGGACGGGTTTTGTCGTGTACGACGGTGCGCTGTTCTTCAACAAGGAGCGCACGCGCAACATTGTAAAGTTCGACCTTCGCACACGCATCAAGAGTGGTGAGGCAATCATTGCCAACGCCAACTACCACGATACCTCACCATATCGCTGGGGGGGCAAATCTGACATCGACCTGGCAGTGGATGAGAACGGACTGTGGGTGATCTATGCAACAGAGCAGAACAATGGGCGCATCGTGGTGAGCCAGCTCAACCCGTACACCCTGCGCATTGAGGGTTCCTGGGACACCAGCTATGACAAACGCTCTGCCTCCAATGCCTTCATGATCTGCGGAGTCCTGTACGTTGTCAAAACCGTATATGAGGATGATGACAACGAAGGGACAGGGAACAAGATTGACTACATGTACAACACTGATAAGGGCAAGGAAATGACGGTTAACATACCATTCCCTAATTCCTACCAGTACATCGCTGCAGTGGATTACAACCCTAGAGACAACCTGCTGTACGTGTGGAATAACTACCACGTGGTCAAGTACTCACTGGACTTCGGCAACAACGGTAGGTCCAACACATAACCCAATAGTTTCTTCTCCACCTCTTCCTTCTCTCATTGTTGTTTCATTCATAGCAAAAAATATTATGCGAGTTCAAGAATTATTCCTTGCTACATGTATTAGCCTGGCTGTGATGAGACTTTTTCAAAATCACATGAAATACCTTAGCGTATTTGTACTGCTTTTAATATTCATTTTAATGATAAATGCTTTTTTTTCCTCCTGATTGTTGTTGTGACATAAGGAATACTTACAGACACTAATCTTCCTCCAATAATTAATTCTGCAAAATTACTTGAAGAGGAAGAAAAGAAATAGCACCATCTGCGCTGTCATGGTTCTCAATTATGACTGTTCCCCCGCCACTCCACCCGTGATATCTGCATGTTTTTAGAAGTAAAAAAAAAAGAACCTCCAGAATACTTTTACAGCTGGTCCTGAATATACCAGTGTCACTGAAATTGTAGATGTCAACAGAGTTGCTATTTATGGAAATGAGAAAGACATCATAAGGGCTGCCTTGATGTCTACCTTTCAAAGAATATCTCAGATGATGTTATGCTGAGCCTTACATACTGTAAATGCCTCTTGCCTTTTACTGTACCACTTGCCAGCTTTCTCTTTAGTTTCCCCCAGCTGCTTAACAAATCATAATGCATTTCTCGTGAATGGAGCCAGGAGTGTCTGGAGGGAGGACACGACGATACCACTTTCATCCTTATATATGATACCTATCTGAAGATGCTTCAACCTGTGTTTGACATATGCATTCATTCCAATCTGCTGTCAAGAGTTGTTACCATTCACAGCGGCTTGAAGTCTGCTAATGCATTTGCAAACATATAAATGCTAAAGCACAACACAAACCACCGATGATTTTTATAGGTGCCTTTTTTTTGTTTTTTCAGTAGAAAGCAGTTCCAATTAGAGCAGTTGACAGTGAGATCTTGCAATGTATTCTTTTTTTTAAGCTGCACTGATTGATATTTTTATAGTAACAATAGATCTAATGACTACATGTAATGTGACAGGAGCCATTTGTTGTGACAAAACCTCAGATGATTATGAGTGTGACAGCATATTTCAGCTCATCCTTTCAGTTTAACTTTGCTGTTTTGGTTCAGTCTCACTGATCTTGTGACACTTTTTTTTTTTTTTTCAGTCAAAGCTAGCAGTCACCTGTGTTTAGCAAAAACCTTTGACAAATCCACTGTCCACATGTGCAGCTTTTAAATCCCTTAAGCACCTCAAATTCATTCTCGTGATTGGTCAGTTTCAGAAATCTAATTGATGGAAATCCAAAAAACATTAGTGGTAAATGCCACTGAGGTTAAGTAGGGAAACAAGATTAAATAGGGTGAAGTGACCCTTTACGCAGGGGTGGGCACATATGAATCAGGAAATCAGGTCAAATGAAGGTTAAAGAGGGAAATATAAAGTACAGTGTCTAACCAAGGAAGGGTCATGAATACAGTTTTGCAGGATGACTCATTCGGATCAACGAAAGTGCACGTTTTTTGGGAATACCAGTGCTGTGTCCATCTGCAAGAGCTAAGAATACTGTCTAACCCAGAGTGACTCTCTTGCAACTCTGGTGTGAGGTTAGAGTCCACCCTCCTCTCGCTCTTTCCTCTGGATGGAAGGGCTTATGCCCCTGGAGCCTGAAGGGCTATTTGCCCAGCGTAATTGCCTTTCAGCACCTTTCTATGGAGTGGTCAAGGCAGTCTGGCTGCGTGTCTTATTAAATGATGTCTGAATTAACGCATGCTCTTACATGCAGTTAGGAGGCGCAGTACAAGAAATTATAGAGAGAGGCAGCATTAAACTTGGTTTCTACCGATTAGTGTGTGTGTGTGTGTGCATGTGTGTGTGCAGGGAGGCCGTGCTGTAAAAATGTGAATATGTGTGTGTTTACACGTGCATAATGATGTGCATGCTCATGCGCTAATGTACTTACAGCATGAGTTTGTGTTCCTCTATTCATGAGCGCCTATATGTGTTTATTGGTGTACGCATGAGAGTGTGATCACTCTCATAATGGAGCTCTTGGTGTCTCAGGAGGCTCTAAAGAGGAGATCAATGGGGATTCAATGTGGAGAATGACCTCCAGTGCACAGCAACAAGCCAGACTGCTGACCAGCGGGGGATAAATACATACAATCAATGCTGCTCCGCTCTTTTACTCTCGTCCTCGCTCTGCTCCCTCACTCAATGAAGACAAGGAATAAATTAACTACCTTAACTGCATGATTTTCTCATTCTTTTGAAAATGAGCCGACTAGTCGATTCACTGTGTGAAAGTGGATCATGTTTTATTCTGTGGCATCTTGACACAAATTTTTTTGCTCTTTTTGCTGTAGAAACTTAGAGAAAAGAGGTTTGCGGTTCACTTTACCTACTATAAATGCATAAAACATACTGTAAGGTTACTGTAGTCAAACCTGCCATGTTCCAGCTCTATTTTTTTTCTTTTCTTTTCTTTTCCTTAGTCAGTTCAGGAAACAGACCAAGGAAAGGGGCCATGCTTAGGGTTTCCACTCATTACTGATGTAGCTTAATGCACATGCTGTTTTTGTTTCAGCTCATATGGACTTCTTCAGATATAAAATGAGACAGGAAATGGGCCATGTTCTCAGGGAAGGATGAGGTAGGCCACTGTGGACTGAGTGTAATTGGGGTACAACAAAGAGAGCACCGATTACTTTGTTGTGTCTGTCCGGCTGGATAACAAAGGCGGACGGTTGAAAAGAGTTCACTCTGAAACACTTACACTGTGTGGTTTTAGAACACACATCTGAATGTGAACACAGTCACTTTGGCACACTAAAGTGTTTGCTGGCCAGGGATGAAAAGAGTGCTGGAAAACTAGTACCAGTAATAGTACTTTAAAGATTTTTTTACAGCAGTATAATACTGCACTTGAGTAAAAATACCTGTGTAAAACATATTCTAAAAAAATAAAAGATAAGCAAGTTAAAAGGTACTCTGAGCAACTTACTTTTTAAAAAAAGCGGATGTGTTGAAAGAAACATGTTACATGATGATCATCATCGTATTAACTTAAGGAACATCTGTATTATATATTATTACATCTTTATCACACCATGCACAGGTGAGAACCCCACCAAGAAATCCAAACCAAAACAATAAAATCATTCAGTTCTTACTCTGTAGACGAGCATTTTCATCCTGTAGTGACACCTCAGAACTAAATAGAACCGAGGACAAAACTCAGACAATTAAAGAAAACTGATAAATACATAAAGTCACTTAGTAATATAGGTGCAGATTGCATATTTTAGGCTACATATGACCTGTTGCTTCATACAGAATTAACAGTATAATAAAGCATCACTGAGGCAGAAAACACAGAGATGTATAAACTGCACAACAGCTATCAAAGGTTAAGTGTGTAGGATTTAGGGAAATTTATCTGAAATTGAATATATTGTTCTTAATTATGTTGTATTATGTGAAAATAACAATTGTGTGTTTGTTACCTTAAAATAAGTCCTTTATATCTACAGAGGGAGCAGGTCCTATTTCATAGAATCAGGCATGTTGCCACGTTTCTACAGTGGCCTGGAAAAGACTACCGGGACAGTAACCTCAGCGGTTTTAGCAGCAACCATAGATTCTCCTACATGTTTGGAAAGGGAGGGTAAGTTGATTACAATCTACAACCTGGCTGCTAGACACCACTGAATCCTTCACGTTGCATGTGAAAGCAGCACAGCGTTGGAGTGTTGCTATGCTGGAAGGCAGTGGTTGTTGACCTTCTCCTCTGGACAGGGATATCAGAGATTTGTTGTTGCACTCACCTGGTTGAGCGAGCACCACAACGTCTAATCCCGGTCTTCCCATAAGATCATCTTTTGCTCATCAGTACATTCCGCCTCCCTGATACCTCTGTTGTCCTCAAAGTTTAAAGCATTCTGGAGAATAAACATGCTTGCAGTCACAACAGTACAGTAAAACAGTAAAAAAGCAGCAGAAATGTCAAAGTCACAGCTGTGGGGTTCATATCCACCATGAGTACGTTAACTAGAACATTGTGCACTTGTTGACTATGCAACAATGTGTGTGTGTTTGCTTTGGGTTACTGAATCGCGCACCAGGTGCTGCATTAACTCAGAAATTAATTAAATACAGTGCTTTTTTTTTTTTTTTTTACTTTTGCCAAAGTAATTCCAAACATATTTCCCATAATGACAGCATCCTTTCTTTTGTTGTTGTGCGTTCCTGTCCTGCTCAGTGGACACAGAGCCCAGTTGTACAGTATCTGTCACAGCCTGGTGTCGGCTGAGTGCTGAGTGTCCGCCCTGGACATGGAGATCTGCCCTGCAGCATCCACACACTCACCAGCTTTTGCTCTGTAGTTGTTGATTTGTCCAGTCTCACATGATTTGTCTTTTTTTTAAGGGTTTTTTTTTTTTTTTTTTTGGTCCATGCGACTTTTGTTTTTGCTCTGTAGTATAGGCAACTTGAAATGTACTGGAATACAATACTGCAATAAAAGAAACCTAAGTCAAATTACATTTTCTTTATTTCAAAAGGGACTTCCCTTTGCTAATGTACAACAGGACTGGGTATCACATCTCAACATTTTTTTTTTTTTATGACATAACAGTTTTTGATCAGATATAAGCCTATTAATTTAATTCATATCCTGCCAGTTCTGTACTAAAACATTTCAGCAAAAGTCTAATGTTGGTGCTGTTGGCTTTTTGATATAAATGAACAAAAATGGGTTTAGAGAAAAGTGTTTATAGCCCTTATAGTATAAGGTATTGAAAGACTGGCCTGACCCTGGTATTGAAAAATGCCTAGCCCTTTATAGTATATCACAAGGGGTTTGTTTTAAACATAAGAACTTAAACTTGGCGAGGGAGAAATAAATGCAGCGGGCTTAGTTCACCTTGGGCTAACGGATAATATAAAGGTTCTCTCCCATGTATTCTATCATGGCGTTAATGCAACATGCAGCAGAAAATTATCTTTTTG